GAAAATATAACGTTTATTAAATATTTATAGCTTATACATCTAATAGGTATATAAAATCATTGAGTTTTCAATATTACATGTTTTTATATAATATACTCAATAATAAAATGTCCTACAATATGGGAATTCCGCGGAAAAAACATCCCGCTTAACAGTAGATGACTCATTTGCTATTGACCAGGCGAATACGCCAAAGCTACATATGACTCATCTGACGGCCCTAAGGCCGAAAGTGATTTCGATCCGACAACCCCAGATTCCGGAATAACACGAAGGTTAATAGCTTCGACTAAATACGGGTTCAACATAAATGGGTATAATATAAAAGTACATTCTACTTCTATTTATTTATTTTTTTTTTTTTCAAGAAACATTACACCAATAATATTTATTTAATTTTTCTGTTTAGACTAAGTCAATTACTTTATAGTTGATATTTATTGATGATCGATGAATATTAAAACGTTTTATCATCGAATAATTTTTCAACGTAACAAGTTAAACACAAATCTATACTGCTGGACACCCTGACTATTTAATCAAAATATTCATTACGATTATAATATTGGTAAAAAAAAAAAATTAAAAAATTAAAAAAAAACAGATAACATTATTGTTACACATGATATTTTTGCTTTTGTTTATTATTAAGTTTATGAAAACAAAATTATAGCGATAAGAAACGTTTATAAATATTTTTTATAAGATTAATTGTTTAACATTTTTACTCATTAGATCGTCTCAACTGTATCAATATGTTTCATTGTTGCTAAAGACTCTAATCAAATTTCAAGCATAAGCGTATCAAAAACCTTGATTTATGTTTCAAAAACAAACAAGAAATGCAATTAATGAACAATAGCAAAATTTAACTATGAAATTATCATTTATGGGGTTTCTCAACTCACAGATCTCAATAACTGTACCAGAATTAAATTAGTTTCAACTTTGAAGGTTTTCTAAAGTAATCAATTTAATATATTAAAAATATAATAGGTACAAAGTGTTGGAAGTCCAAACTTTCTAGAAAAAAACTAAATAAATTCTCATTTATTTTAGATTCTGAGTGTAGTTTTATAAATACTGATTTTTATTGTGTTAACTATTTATCTTTTTGTATGAAAAATAATTTTTCTAGTGACAAAAAATGTCATCACTATGAATAGAAAATCGTGTTAATTATCTTTTATAATATTCTACATAATAAGCAAAACAACATTCAGGTATTCTATAAATCTATAATATACTCTCTGATTACTCATCTAGCCGATTTATAGGTTCTGCAGTATTTTACATGACCAGTTAGTCAATAATAGTGTATGAAGTATTATCTCATGAGTGGGGAAGTGAATTACAATATCTAAATGACAAAAAATTCAGAAATAAAAATGGATAGGTACATTTGGATAAGTATACCCACGCATAATATTACTCACAGAATATTTCGACGACCGGATAACCTATTAAAATAAAAATATTACTTAAGTATTAATTACTCTATGTCAATCATTTCTACCTACTATATACTATATTATATTAAAAAATATTTTTGTGAAAAAAACAATCATAATATATCTCATTTTAAGTCTAATAATTTTGCACAAAATATAAAATAAAAATCCAATGCGTGAGCTTTTGACTACTGATTATTCGAACGGATTACCCATCACACATAAATTGAAGAATACACACATCACCTCGAAGTGAAACTGTGCATTGACGATACTAATTGCTGGTAACAATTAATCAGATCACGACCTCATAAAATATTTTTATTCTATTAAACTATTATGCACTTACAGCATATTGGAAGACTCTATTTTCGTAGCAAATGAGCCGGTATCAATTAATGGGGACAAAATAATAATATCCACGGGCTTCGAGACTTCCAGATCGTATCGCGGTACACCATATGTTGGCGGTTCCTCTTTAGATCGTTTAACCACGTGACGCTCTTCAAGAGCAACATATTAGAATAAGTATACGCGCCCATAACCGTAGTATAATGTATTATAGCCATCCCAGAAACTATACACCGAACTTCACATTGTTCGCGGGTCAACACACCCGTGTAATCGAACTCGTACAAGTCGTAAACAAGTTGGATTTTAAAAAAAAATGACCGCTTTAACTCTTGACATTTATGGTTTCGTCTGTTCATTTATTATAATAAAGAATTACATACCTACAGACTATCCGTCACACTATTGTTATAATTATTATATTTTTAAAACGAATAACTAGACAACTAAATTCTAATAATAATAACAATAATACCATAGATGCCATAGTCTATATACATTTATTCATGATCGAGGTCTGAATTCACCGCGTACATACCTTAAGTGTAAATATCGGTAACAAATTACAATAAATAGGTAGTTAAGTTATTTTTAAAACGATTTATAGATGTGTATAGAAATTAGAAACCATAATCCAATAAATCGTACACCAATAAATGCCAAGTAGATACAGGACACGGCTATTGCAATATTTAGTATTTGAACATTAAATTAATACATGTATAATTTAACAGTAAAAAAATATCAAATATTTTTTGCCACATAGTTAGCAGCAAACACAATCGTTTTTAGATACTTATCAAAACTTTTTTGTACATATTAAAAAAATAGTCGTCGAATAAAATTTATGAGTAATTTATTGTGATTTGTCATACAGCGGAATTGGCCGATAAGATGATTAACGAAAATAGATTTAAATGGATGAATGTAAGCTCTATTAAATATTCATAATGTGATTACTTAAACATTTACAACTTTTTATTTATAATAATACACGTACCTACTACCGGAACTTCTCTACTATATTCACAATTTAATAAAGAAATTGTGTATACAAATTATTATCAAAATAATTCAGATTAAACTTCACTTATCGCTTATCAGTTATCTATAACTGTTGATATTTCAATGTTCAAACAATTAGTACAAACATGTTTTTAAACAATAACTAACTGAGTTAATAAGTAAAGTAATATCAGCTGAATAACACTAAAATATCCCATAGCACATTTCTTACATACAAATAACGCGTAATGTAAAATTATTTTAAATTCAAATAATTTACATTTATAGTTTAATCTGTCGATGTATTAACTAGGATAATTATTGAATAATGACTTATAAGTTATAACATAATATTTATTAAAAAAAATATTATACTTAATGCTTTTCATATTTGGACAAATGACAAGTTGTATCGTTATCAAGGTTTTATTTTATCAACACTTTACTGTCCATTACAACATAAGCTTAACCATTTTTGTAATGGGATGAAAGTCAAAATCCTTTTATTATTATTAGTCACGAAAATTTAATATATAAATATATGTATATATGTGTATCAATATTTCTTTCATAACAATATGAAATATAATTGCAATAGGATGACTTACTCTTAAATAGGTACCACATAACAATATTATTTATAAATGTATATACTCGAAAATTAAATTGATAAGAGTAATCATAATTATTAATATTATATCTAATATACTCTGACTTTTAAGTTTTATTATTGTATACATAACTATTTGAAATAATATCGACAGTAAATGATGAAGAGGAGCAGATAATTTAATTAGTTATCGTAGCCCGTTGGTACATACATAAAATATTAAATGGTTAAATAGTAATAAGTTGATTAATTTAATAGGCCTATAATATAGACATTATGATTCAGGTATATAAAACATTTAGTTCAACTAGTAACATATACCTTTGAAATAAAGGTTAAAATATTAACAATCATAGAACGTAGATAATCTATATTTGTATGATAACACTGATTTTGAAGATTTTATAAGAATAAGTAATTATATCCATTAAAGAAAAGTAATTGCAGTCTGAAAAATAAGTACAAGTCCTACGTTTGTGATGTCATTTGAAGCATGTACGTAAGTTCTTTGATATTCCTACTTACTTATTTTCGACGAACGACAAGTGATGATCGATGGATCTAAAATTGCTTTTCAAATTTGAATATCTTCTAGACAAGTATTAGTCTATGTTAATAAATTATTTTCAGTTGAGTAAGTATTAGACGACACATTTGTGAATTATTGACGATACCTACTTATCTAAAATCTAAACTCCAGTCATCCATCCGTCTACGATTCTACGATGTGAAATTACGATCTGTTCACGAACAAAATGCATAATGCACATGCACAATACGAATGGAGACTGTTAAATTGGAGGATAAATCGTCTAGAAATCAATTATTTGTATAAAGGGTTCCATACTATCTAACAATCCATTAAGCATATTTATCTATAATTTAATATAAAAGTCAAAATATTACTAACAGTATGATTGTAAGAATATTATGTTGAAATTAAAGTATAACTATATAGATAATATATTGAAAATATTATGTAACAAAAATAAAACGTACGGGTAAATAAAAAATTTCTTGGTTAAAAAAAAACTGGTTTTTTTCCTTATCTATAGAAAAATTCATGCCAAGTGATATTTTTACGACTCAAAGTAAACAATACTACCGCGATATCCACGGAGCATTCGGCGGGTTTTATACTCCTACTATATAATATGGTATGGTTAGCTTCGTACGCAAGTGAGAAACGTTGACATTTCGTTAACGTCTCGAGAGAAAACTCGATACCTACCCATTATTTTACACGATAACAATATTCTTCAATGGCACCAAAAAAAAAAAAGAGTACGACCACATAGCATAAAGCGTTTAACTAAAAGATACATGATTATTTGGTAAAATAATTCGTACGTTTGGAATCCCGACATCGTAGGGGTCCGTACGGGTACACGCGTTATAACAAAATACATATTGTAGTGTTACTATTAGTTGGTTTTGTTAGGTAAATTGTTCGATATCGCGTGCTGTAGTTATTACTGCGAACCTATGTCCGGCCACTACGCTCTAAGACACAGCACTATTAACACGACCGACCATGACGTGGGTACTAACTACTATTAATTAACTACAATTCGACAGCATACCTCTGACGTAGCTCGTTGCGATTTTACTAATCGCGTCCCCGGGTCATGACTTGTCGATGGAGGCGATATCGCAACCCATCGCCCGGTCGTTTTTTCACGGTCACAAACGGCGCGTGGGTTTTGGTTTCACTTGCACTAAAATAAATTATATTTCTGATCGACCGTAAACCAAAATCGGATGTTGGCGCTGTAGACACGTTGCGTTCCAATCGAAATGCGGAAACTGGATAAAAACGGACGCACTCGCGCGACGGACCTGACGTATACGTTTGCCGGACGGACGCGACGCCGAACACGTTGCGCTGCAGCAGAAGCACTGCACCGTCGACGTCGTGCGGGCACATGCGAATCCCGCGCGTTCGCCACAAACAACGGTTTTCCCCCACCCCCCGCAATCGACCATCGGTGGGAACGGCCCGCGCCTAACGCAATCGAGAAGTCGTCCGTCCGTCGATAGGTATTGATATGTCGTACGTAATATTGATAATATTAGTAACTATAATATTTTTGTTACGGTCAGACCCGGATTAAGGGGGGGAGGTCATAGAGGGGAACCGCGTTCCCGAGGTCCACGTATGTGAGTAGTGGCCCGTATGGTGTTGTCAGCTAAACATGTAGTTTATCAAGTGGTGGTCATTAATGTTGTACTTTTTATAACAAAAAATAATTAAATTCTAAGATATGCCTAAGAAGAAAAAAACTATAACTGTAACGAAAATGGTAGGTATATATCACAGCACAACTACAATCTACTGTGTCTTTATGTCTTAACTCGAGACCGGGTTTTTTACTATTATATGTTTTTAGAACTTACATACTGTTTTTTCTCCAGAAGTTGTCCGGGAGTGTCAACGATGACAATAGCATTAATAATATATACCAATAAATAAAAAAATATATGAATCTTTAAATATACCTGATCTATGATAACGTCTAAATTATAAAATCAACTCAGTGGAGCTGAGATAAGAAAAAAGGGAAACTATGAAAAATTGTGTAATAACAACTTCCGTTAATGGTGGGATTTTTCAGATTTATGCAAAATTTACCAATTAAATCATAATTTTTTTTTATTGAAAATAATATTATATAAAAATACGTATCTTTTTTAATTTTTCTACTGTGAATTCTGTATAATAGTACTCAGATAATATTTACGTAAGTATCGAGGTAATAAAAAAGTTTCAACAGTATTAAATTACAGTAAAATAAACTAAATACTATATAATAAAAATATTATTTAAAAAAAATAACATTTTATTAAAACCTTACTTTAAATTTGATGAAAATATCAAGAGTAATTACTAATTTCATAAATTATTTTAAGTATTAATCCCCATATATAATTTATTGACAAAGTCATGGAGATATTACTAATAATATATAGTTTTATTATTTCTTATTAATGAGTAATTATTTATAAAGTTATGCCAATGAGCTCAATATTATAAAATTTAAACAGCCACAAAAGCAGAACTATTTTCCACTGATGTTGGCCCACAGCCAAGTATCTGAAGTATCTGTCCCTGAACTCGTAAAGGTCCTGTTCCTGGCTTGATTACAGTCAATACCAATAATTATTATCTATAATAACTTGTTAGTTATTAGCTATTTCATACATATGGCGTAGATAAAAGTACATAATGTAATAAATAATAAATATGAGTGAATATCAAAATAACCACCGAATCAAAATAATAATAACAACCTACGGTCGGTCGAGATGGCTTTTCGTCGGCGAATGCGTGTCCAAATTTATACGAAGGTAAAAGAATACACGATTCCGCTTCGTGCAGTAGAGTAACTGAAAAATACCTACTGCGCAGTACCCACAGCTCTCTCCTACTTATTCAACCAGTCAACCTATTACCCGTTTGTGACTATCGCGGACCTGCGACATTGGCATAAAATTGTCTGCGAATATGAACAAGTCATAATTATCGATGCTATTGCGACAACGTACTTTGTTCGAAGACACACATGTATACATATATAATATTATATTATATAGGTACCTATCTATAGAGAGGGAGAGATGTTTATTATATCGTTAACACGGCAGTCATCGAACCTATTACCTATATATTATGATTCGCGTGTCGGGGCAGTCGGTCGATTTACTTTATAATAGTAGGTAATATTATTATGATAGTATATAAGTACCTATTTTATGGCGTGTTATACTACATAGTTCGATGGTCGATTAAAAGACAACAAAAATGATATCTATTTTTTCTACAATATAATATTATTATTGTCTATATTCTATATGATATATGATAATATTATATTGTAAAAGTATAACATGTAACTAAAAATATCAATTACATTATATTTTTATCTGCGTATCGTGATTAGATAATGATTCTATGTAGATATATTTTTAGATTTAAATGTTGTGTTAGATACAACGATACATATTTTAGAATCTAAAAATTTATATAGGTAAGAATATAGAAAACGAGACATACAAAGCCATGGTCGAATGCTGCCGGATTATCAAATTGTATTTTACTATACTTGTGTTATATTACGTGGTACAATATGAACATAATATTATTTAATATTATATTTTAATGTTTAAATAAATTCGTGTAATATATAAATATATATATTTAAATAGAATGAAATCACTTTTGAATATTTTATTATTTTTTCATGGTAATGACTTCCTATTGAACAAATGAGTAGATAGTAGTATATTATGATAAAATTTTAGCTTTAATGTGTTTATACACATACACAAAACGCATTTTAAAATTATTAAATTATATATATATATATATATATATATATCGTATAGCAGGGATGGGCAACTCAAAATTACTAGAGGGCTACTTTTTAGAAAATTAAATAGAAAGCAAAAAAAAAGGTCATTCAAAATATGCATTTTAATTAAAATTATTTTGTTTATAATGTGAATTTTTAACTTTAAAATTGTATGTAGTAATTTGAAAATGTAACACGACTCACGAGCCAGATAAAAAAAGGCTCGCGAGCTACCAATCATCCATACCTGTTGTATAGAATAAAATTGTTGGTATAAAACTTCTTTACACTTTAAGGTTAGGTAACGTTAGGCAAATACGAAGGTACCTGAGGAGTATGGTCTATGTTAAACGTACAATTTAAGTAAAATAAAATAATTTACTTACATTTTAAAGCATGTATAAGTTGTAAGATGAATCTAATTGTTTTTATATATTTGTGCTTGCAAAATAATATATCAATGAACATTGGAATTCCATAAGTTATTATTATGATGTATTCATGTAGGTAGATACAACAAAAGATTATGTATTATTTACTACACTACCTATTTCTATTGTGTATTGTGCCGCCATGTCCAACGTATATATTTATATATATTATAATTATCTTCTAAAAAAAAAATTTTAAAAATTATAATAATATTAATTATGAGTACAAAGAATATTTTGATTATTATTGATTTGTTATTTTTGAATGTGCTTCAAAACATCCATCTTTTTATCATTGCATTATTCTACATTACTACTACATAATAGGTACCTATAGCAAAGTTACCGATATATTTTTCCGTGTACCTATAAACAATTACGACTTAAATAATACGTTTTAATTAAATATAAAAAAAAATACATTTTAATTTACCGTTAGGTTAAGCCGTTAAGGTTATGTCTCAATGAATGGTTATTATAGTTAATCCTCCATAAAATTTTTGGCGTTTTAAAGTTTAAACTAATTTAAATATTGAAATGTAAATATCTATTTCACACATTATACAATATATTATAGGTTTATAATTTAATATTATTACTTGTGTTACTTTTAGACTGCGTTGATAATTAAATAATCACATCGGATTGTATATTCTCAATATTATGATATTTTATTCGTTTATAATTATTTATATTTGTATTACAATACGACTTATATATCCATAATGTATTATTCAGACTCTGATATTAAATTATGTGGTACTTAACATTATTATGTTAGTGTAAGCATTTGGCGTAATCTCACGAGCCTATGTGAGGGGTTCACCCGGTTGTTTTCGCTTGCTTGACATATTATAATATTTTGAAGGTGCAGCAAACGGGCGTGAGTAAACGGTAAAGACTGCAGACGCCAACTTATGTTTGAACCTCTTAAATTACTATTGACTTATTTAAGAGTTCTTAGTTAAACATGTAAGTAAAAATATAATAAAATAAAATATTTTTTAGTTAAATTATAAATTTTCTAAATACTCAAATAGTTTATCCCCCAATAATATAAGGTCACATTACTTACAACAGTAGACAGTTTAATACATACATTTCAACATAACTTTTATTATTTATGTAATTATGTATAATAATCAAAATAATGTATACATTTAATTACTACTGTCGATTACTGTATCATTAACTTTTTAAAAATATAAAAAAATAAAATTATTTTCAACTTAAAACTTTTATATACTATTATACTAACTATTATACTCCTACAAATAATATTCACGTCATACTATGTATGTACATAATATATACGATTATTATTTTTAGGAGTAAAATTAATGCGATCTACAAATAGATAGCAGAGTGTTATAGTAAATAATATACGAAAACAAATGAGTAATAAAGTAAAGAATTGAGGTATAATATTTTATACATTTTTTTATATTTTATAAAATTGTCTTGTAAGGAAGGACATAGAGAACTAAGAAAAAAATATTATTGATTAAAAAAAAAAAAAAAATGATAAAACAAACAATTCGGTTTGCAAAGATAACAGTTAATCATTAGGTAGTGGGCTAGTTTAATATAACGCCGCAACAGGTTGCACCCATATAGTATATCATAAATTCTACACACACTCCTATAATATAAACTACAAATAAAAGTACAGAATGTACATTGTGTTATATTTCTTTGTACATAAAAGAAAAAACACAGTACACACAGAAATCATAATATTACATTTGAATGTATTTTATACTAAACGGATTAATCATTTAAATATTATAAAATATTAAAATCTACTACAACCATACCTTATATATTAAAACATTGAGACGAAGTATACCAATTACAAAACTAAAATGGTCAATAAGTAGCCAGCCACCAATAAAATTTAATGTCGTAAGAATACACGATGTGAGGTGTTCAAAATCGTTGAAAAAGAGATTACCTTAAAGACGCTTAATATTATAAACAGGCATTTAAAATATTAAGCTTTTTTTATGGTCTACAAAGCGTATACATTTTTTAAATTATTTAACTTCTGAAACAAGGCAATGGATTTAGAATGAATCTTAATACATCTGGGCATACCCAGAGACTAAATTCGTAGCAAATCATAA